CTATCCATCAATGGATCCTCAAAGATGGGTGCCCTTGTGCCATCCCAAGATGGTGGAGAGAGCAAATCTGGATCTGACAAGCAGCCGCAAGGTCAGCATTATCCTCGTCAAGCTATGCCACCGCCACCGCCACCACCACACGGGCCATATCCTAATCAGGTTTATCCCCCTTACGGATATATGCCACCAGTTCCACCTTATCAGCAGTATCCTCCATACCATCATCCACAACCAATGCCTCAAGGTCCACCACCACCTAGCCAGCAGCACTATCAGCATTCTGGGCCACGGCCTGGGCCACCAGTCCATACTCCTCAAGTATCTACAGCATCAAGTGCTGCACCTCCGGGGTCTGCACCGCCTGGAATCCCTGGACCAGGGTCATCACATCAATGATTTTCCTCTGCTCAGAAACCTTCATGCAATTTCTATTGAAAATTTCTTTGCTTCTGTCACTGTATGAATTCATCGCAGGTGAATGGTGCATTTTGACTTGCTGTAAAATTTATGCCTGCCAATGGGCATCGCTATAATTTACTTGAAAAGTAGGAATTTCCCTAGCAGGAAAGTTTGATGTCTTCGGATATGATCTACTTTTAGTAGCCATTCCATTTGTATGATAAATTGTATGTTCCATCTCTTCTTATCTTGGACAAGATCATTTAGTCTTGGGATTCATATACAACAGTATATATAGCAGATCCAAACACATTCTGTAAGAGCAACGGAAAATTTAAAATGAATTTTAACTGGGAAACTGAAAGGGTCCAATTTTGTAAAATCGTGGTTTTATACTTCCTATTATTAGATTAATTACCTGTCTTCAATTTATTGAAGAGGGTCAAGTTTAATACTGTGCATAATTATTTTTATCCCAAATGTTCGATATGTTCTTTGCCTCCTTTTCCTGATTGGAAAGAAAACATGTCGAAGATTCACAGCGAATTATAACCTAACTGAAAAGGAAAGTAGAACTCCAATAGAAACTGAGTTAAGTAATTTAGAATCAAACACAAAATAGAATGAGCATCCAACAAAATGTGAAGTGAACAGAGAGAACAAATTCAACTTCATTCACATATTTACTCATATAGTTAAAGAGTGCAACTCCCTCTTTGGCAGGGATCAAAAGGCTATACATATATATATATATATATATATATATAGATAAAATAGCATCAAAAGTAGGGGCATCAAACTGTGCAAAAAGCTTACCACTATTTTTTAATGAAAATTTATAAATTTTAATAATCGAATAGTATTTATACACAAAATAATAACACAATCAACTTAAAGTTTAAAGTTATCTCATTTTATAGTTTTAATGTGATTAACAACTCTTTTAATGGGTATAGTTGTTATAAAAAGCTTAAACTATAAGCAGAAAAAATAAGTACAACTTTGTTTTGGCTATATCTCTAGTAGTCTTATATATTGTAAGCTCTCCAAATCGGATTTTTTCGAATAGTTTTACCGTAATATCTAACTTAATGCATTTTTTGCATTATACAACATCAATCAACGTATTATGTGACTAATTAATTTAATGCGGTGTTTGCATTGCACAATATTCATCTCTGACTAGTCTGGCACATTAGAGATTCCCCATCTGAATCTGGCTCAACTAATTTTTTCTTTAATTTTGATTAACTTCCTACTTGCGTGTCTCTTCCAGGTTAAGGAACATATTTATTTTTCAACGTACGCTTCATCAAAACAGCACCGGGGACCTAGTGGTAGAAAGGTATTCTGCACACGGTGCGTGTCCATGGTTCGAGTGTTAACTGTGTATAAGTTGAGCAGTGAAGAGATCTGTGCTCTGGTGATGGTAGGGTCTATCACAGCCGTCCGATTTGTTTGACGACTAAGAGCGCATCTGAGCTCTCTTTTTCTTTTTTTATTTTTTATTTTTTATTTACTTTTTCTCTTTTCTAAATTTACATTTATTTTTATAAAATTGGACCAATTGTGATTAAGAAATTACATGTTATTTTCCGCAAAATTTTTGCTTAAAACGTCTTTACGTGTTATATGTTGTTTGGGCTAATTTTACACACTAAAAGTCTTCAGTTAAATTTAAACTTAAAACATATTTTATAATTACTTTTCAATACCATTTTCTTTTTATTTTTTTTTTGCGTCACACAATATATCATCCAACTATTTTTCACAAAGTTACCAAGTGAACAAAGCTTCAGCCACTCAGGCAATAAAACCAGTAAAAAATCAAACTGCAGAAATAAATCTACGATAATCCAAAAACATAATAGTCATCATATAACTCTTTAACCTACGTACAATCAACAAAGCACCAGTGGTTTAGTGGTGGAATGGTATTCTTCTTGGGTGCAGGCCCGGGATCGATTCTCGGCTAGCTCAAGTTGTGAGCGGTGATGAGGTTTGTGCTCGGGTGATGGTAGGGTCCATCGCAACCGTCTGATTAGTTTGACGATTATGAGTGCATCTGAGCTCTTCTTTTTTATTTTCTCTTTTTTTTTTTTTAATTTTTTTTTCCCTTCTAGATTAACGTTATTTTTATAATAAATGGGTTAATAATTTTAACTGAATTAGATTGGATTATTTTAGTATATGTTGTGTGATTATAAATAATATGAACTTTGACAAATATTTCAAAATTTTAATTTTAAGATCCTTGAGTTGATCGTATGAATAATAAATTTAAATTTTAAACTCGATGTGAATATAGAGTGTTAAATTTTTTCTAATAAATTTAGACCATATTAAATTTAAGAGTTATCTTATTCAAATTCAACATAATTATTTTATTATATTAATAAAAATATAATTATATTTACATTTAATATAAAATTAAAAGTATATTTATTAATCTACATATAATAATATATACTAACTATATTTTATGAATATAATTATATAATTATATAATATAATATATTTTATTTATATATATATAAATATATTTATAATAATAAAATTTTTAAAAATGTGTATATGTATGTACACATATATAACAAGTAGGATTCAAATAGATTTTAGAAGATTAAATCCGAATTGGAGATCGATCCTTTTTTTTTTGTTACTAATTTAAATTGATCTTATTTAAATTTGTATTTTAATAAAAATAAATAAATTTTGGTATAGAATATAATTTTCAATTAGAAATATTTTATTTGAGTTTTGGTAAAACTTTTAAAATTTTATTAATTTTGCTAATCAACAGTTTTTTCATTTATTTTTTTTTAATACAACCTAAAATGTATTATAATTGAAAATTAAACTTTCAATTTCTAATTTGTAGAGTTGGAAAAATACAAAAATTTACTATAATTTCTCTAATTTATTAAACACATACCTGTCTTTTAATTAATTTTTATAATGGGTTTTTCCAAACTAATAATTTAATGAAACTGCAATGTCAGCCACGTGGCGTGATCTGGCTGTCCCATCAAGTACGTAAAGTTGCGAAACGGAACTGGAGGGAGTTATTCAAATGACCAAAATACCCCGGGCTCCAAACTACTTATTCAATCTGATTTTAATATATTTTCGTGTCCGCTTCTCCAGAAACTTCTTTCCGGCACCTCCTATATAAGGCGTTTTGAATTATTCGATAAATAAATAAAAAAACTGGCGTAGTTATATCGCGTATAATCGTGAGAGATCGAGAGTGAGCGAAGCCTGAAACATTGCGCATCTTCTTCTCGGTACAGGGAGGAACAGAGGTCAATTGGATCTTCTTTGTTGTTTACGGTGAGGAGTATTTTCATTTTTGTTTCCTGTAGATATTAATTTGAAATCGTAATTTACGGTCTGGTGGTTCTCTGTTGCTTCGTTGTGAATATTTAGATTGTTTGCGTGGTGTGGGTCACTCGCTTGAATTCATGGAGGAGTACGTTTTTTTGTTGATTAAGTCTTTATGTTTGTGGAATCTAAGTCAAATCGCCTAAATTGATTCATGAGCGATTCTCCTTTGGTGTATTTCCATTATTGTATATGTTCACGGTTTGATAACGGGCGATAGCTTTATTAGCTTCTTTCGAGGAATTAACTATAATATAGTATAAATTTCTTAGGTATGTGTAACATATAGTCATTATGAAGTTTGAGGTATACGGAAATTTATCTTAGTTTGTATTTGTATTTAAGATTGTTGTTTCTCTACTAACTTCTGAAATTATTTGTTGAAGATAAAGCGTTTTTGTTTTGCTAGATATAGTGTGCATACATTCAATAGATATAAATTAAATTTATTAAACGAATTACCTATTTTATGAAATTCCCTTTAAATTGTGACTAGGGGCTGAGCAATGAGTTAGTATTTTGCATATTTAATAGAAATTGACATTGAGGAAATGAAGAGGAACTGAGAAATCAAGGCTTATCAAGATTGAACTAGTGATGCCTTTGGGATGCTTTCTCCAGTTAATTGCAATTATTGAAGCAATTGCCTTGAGGGGGTTTCCTTATCTGGGATATGCAATCATGGTACCCATTTTCAGTATTACTAAAAGAAAAAACACTAGTAACTAGTATAACTCATGGAAAGGGATTCCCACATTAGTTTATACATATTGTACGAAATAATCCTTCATCCTTTGATATATATATGCACAAATATAGTTATTTTAACAGAATCTAACCTTGGAATGTACACAAATTTAAACTAAATTTTGCTTACTGAATTGTTCAGTTTTGGCTTGAAGCACAATATCTCTGTTGTTTGTTATTGATGTTCATCTCGATGATATGTGGAATTTGTATATTCAGATGTCATATTCGAGGAGGTCAAGGTATTCTAGATCCCCCTCTCCATACAAGAGGTATGGCAGGTCTGTCTCAAGGTCTCTGTCAAGGTCAAGGTCAGAGTCGAGGAGTCGATCAAGGTACTTTTGTAGTTGTTGGCTGCTGTGATTTAGGACGCCATTTTTCTGGTGTTCACATTGTATAGATGGCCCTAATGATGCCTTGCTTGTCTATCAACTTTATTGACAGGAGCTTTTCTAGTGATGTGGAAAATCCTGGAAATAATTTGTAT